CTCGTCTCGCTCCTCCTTGGCCGCCGGGGCCCCAGCGTCCGTCCCAGGCCGCGCGGCGACGCTCTCGTCGACCCTGCGCTTCTTCTTGAGCGTCGGGAGGCGAGTCCGCACCTTCTCCGCGTGCTCCGGCAGCACCTTCTGGTGGGCCTCAGCCTGGGCGCGCAGCCTGGCGTCGGTCTCCTGGTGCAGCCTGGCTGCCTCCGCTGCGGCAGCTGCAGCGGCCTCGCTCGCCTGCAGGCGCTGCTGCTGGGCGTCCCGACCCTGCTGCTGCACCTGGCGGAGCGTCTCGCGAAACTTGCGGATCTCCTCCTTGATGGGGCCATCCTCGTACTCGGCGAGGTCGCCCTGCAGCTCCTCAGCGCGCTCGAAGGTGAGCACAGACGGCTCTGCCGCCAAGCCTGTGCTCCACGGTGGAGCAGGTGCTGCCGTCTGGCCCGAGTAGTAGTGGTGCTTGGCGGCCTCGAGCACCTTCTCGGCTGCCAGCATGGCCTCCAGCGCCTCCTCGCGGCGCTGCTCCGCTTCATCACGGGCTGCCTCCGCCTGGTCCAGCTCCCGCTGGGCTTGGAAGAGAACGTCCTGCTTGTGCGCGTGCTGGCCCTGCGCGGACTGCAGCTGCCAGGCCGGCTTGGGCAGTGGCCAGGCCGGCTTGGGCGGTGGCGGGGGCGCTGCCTCCTCGGCGGCTTCCTTCTCCTGCTTGGCCAGCTTCGCAAGTGTCGTACCGCAGCTCGTGTGCTTCGACAAGTGCTCGAGGGCCGCCTGTTCGCTGTGGAGGCCGCGGCGCGCCTCCCAGGCGTAGGGCCGCCCCACCAAGGCGACGGCCGCGCCTCGTTCTCCAGGATGTCCTGCCCGCACTGGCGCTTCCCTGGCACCCGCCCGAGCCACTCCCCGCAGCGACACCAGCCCTGCGCGCGCTTGAGCTTGTCCGTGTACATCCAGCCCCCTGCAGCTGCGGCACACGACCTAGCGTCCGCTCTTCTGGCCCGTCCGTCCCATCGAATGACAGGTGGAAGCTGGCGGTTCGGCGTGGCGCTGTACGCTGGTGTAGCGCTCCACACCTGGGGCGGGCCAGGCGGAGACTCGGGGTCAAGCCGCGGATTAGCGGTATCCAGTTCGTTCCCCAGGGGAACTAGCATCTTGAGCCAAAATGGTTACGAGGGAGGAGGAGGAGGAGGTGGAGGAGACTCTTCTTGGCCTTCACGCCCCTGGGCCCTGCGCCGTCGCGCCACCTGCGGGCAAGACTGAACGGCGCTCCGGTTCGGGCGGACGGAGCCGCTGCAGCAGCTCGCCCCCCGACCAGACGACACACTGGGCCGTGGGGGCAGGACTATCCCGCTGTAGGCGGGCCTTGAGGCGCCCGCCAAGGCCCTGCCAGCCCGACTGGGCGTGTCTCCGGTGCTTGGTACCCTGCCCCGGACGCGGGCGGTGCGACACAGCACGACACACGGCACGGCGCGTGGCACGGCGCGTGGCACGGCACGCGGCGCGGCGGACGGCACTGCACACGGCACGGCGTTGATGTAGGAGGTGTCGGCGACCACGCAGGCGAAGTCGCGGCGCTCCTCCGTTGGGCGGGGCGCTCCTCGGGCGCGGGCGGAGACCTCGACCCCCCTCAGCCGAATCCGGTGCGGCGGCGAAGGGCGACCGAACTCGATCCAACCCAGCCGTGTGCGACGAGGGCCCCCCGAGTCTTTCTCCTGCCGCTGAACGAAGACTCTCGGTTCATGAGGAGGAGGAGGAGGAGGAGGAGGAGGAGGAGGAGGAGGGAGGAGGAGGAGGAGGAGGAGGAGGAGGAGGAAGAGGAGGAGGAGGAAGACAATTCTACCTTCCAGCAGGCCTGCATGACCCGATGAAGGTCACAGTGAGGGCCTTGAGGGGCGAGCCGTTCGAGCTGGAAGTGCGACCAGGCGTGACGCTGGAGGCTCTGGTCGGCTCTCCTCCCTGGGAGGGTGGAAGGAGCGGATGTGAGAGGGTGGCCCAGTTACCCGCCCTTTCCTCCTTCCTCCTCCTCCTCCTCCTCCTCCTCCTCCTCTCCTCCTCCTCCTCCTCCTTCTCCTCCATGCGTGTCGTTCGCTCCTCCTCCTCCTCCTCCTCCTCCTCCTCCTCCTCCTCCGCCCTTTCCTCCTGGAGAGGTGCCTCAGCGCGAGGGCTGCGCGTAGGGCCCCAGGGGAGCTAAATTCCGCCAAGTCGTGGCCTGTGTGGGGGCTGCGCTGCGGCAGGAATGGCTGGGCTCCGTGGTCGCTGGACTGCAATCCCTGGGCTGGTCACTGACTGGTGCAGTCAGGACCTCGGGGCCTGGTCTTTCTCGATCCCACTGTTGGTGCCCCCCCCCCGGTGCGCCCGCTGGGGTTTAGAGCGTGTGGGGTCAGGGCCACCCCGACCACCGGGATGGCGGGGGCGGTTTGAGGGTGCCAGACGCCTGCCTAGCTACGTGCTGTGGGGGTGGTGCTGGGCCCGCACGCTACGCGCTCCCCACGCGGGGGCCGAGGGGGTGCCAGGGTCCTGCGGGGCTCGGGGCGGCGGCATCCAGAAGCGGTATCGTGATCTGAGCGTGGCGCCAGGAGTGCGCCGTGAGTGAAGGATCAAGGGCAGTTGTGAGTTGTAAGGCTTGCTGGCCGGCCTGTCGCTGCGTTGCTCCTCTTTTCTCGTGTCCTCTTTGAAGAGGCCTTGCGAGGCAGTTGCTGGCTTTGTACAGTCGCTACTTGAATGTAGCGCCTTGCCACTGAGGCTGGCAGCTGTTGTAACGATGGCATAGTCGCAGGCAAGGTTTGCATGGAAGCTACCTGTGTTTCCTCGAGAGTGTATAGGGCGACAGGTGCTTCTCAGGGTGTTCCCAGGGTGGTCCTCCTCCTCCTCCTCCTCCTCCTCCTCCTCCTCCTCCTCCTCGTTCTCTCCCGCCTCACTTTTTTTAGCTCGTCCTCCTGCTCCTGCTCCTCCCTTCCTCCTCCCTCCTCGCCCCCGAGGCCCTGAAGGCCATGGCCGCGACGGCGAAGCCGGGCATGCCCGCGATCGGGCAGCTGGTGCACGACGGCAGGGTGCTTACTGGCAGCGCCACCCTCGAGGCGGCCGGAATCCAGGAGGGCAGCTCCTCCCGGGGAGAGGGCCCGTGCCGACGCCGATGGCCCGCCTTTGGCCTCTGGACGTCTTTACCAGGCCACGCGATGAAATCCTGGCCCTGGGGAAAGGGTCGGGACTTCCGGGGACTGGGCTCGCCTCGGGATCCCTCCCGGTCAGGAAGCACTTGTGGAGAGGCCCAGGGAGTGGGACAGATGGGGCTCGATGTAAACACCACGTAGGTTGGAAGGGTCTGGCGCACGCGATCCGAGGCTCTGTTCTTGTTCGGCTTTCATGCATTTTCCCCATGCATGTGGCGCAGGTGTGCCTTCTTGGTGCTCGATATTTTTGCCGCTGCGCCGTCAGGGTGCGGTTCTCAGTCAGGCAGTTCGTTGGGTAGACCCGGGCCGGACGAAAGGGGGGGATTGGGAAAGGGGGGGTTACGAAATTTGCTGCATGCAGCTGGTTTCGGCTTCACCGAGAGGCCCACTCCTCGATACATAGCCGCCTCCGGCGCCGGGAGACGCCGGGAAAATCAGCTACGTGAGCTGATTCTCAAACCCCGCCTTTGCTATCCCCCCCTTTCGCCCGACCCGATAGACGTTCCAGCCTGCCACAGCTTGGAATCCGGGGGCGTCTGTACACCGAGATCCTTGGCCGACCAGACGGGTTGGCGTACGGCAGCGTTCCCCTTGCGCACGGCCAGGCGCGGAGCGCACGCGCGCGCGTGCCCTCAGTCTCCACTTGGCGACGGCTCCCGTCGGCACGCGCGCGGGCAGCAGCTTCGCACCAAGAGGGCTGGAGGCGCTCGGCGCGGCATGCCTGGGCGAGGGCAGGACACACATCCGGCGGCATGTCTTCCCAGTGCGCGGCCATCGTGCGGCTGGGCCCGCCTGCCCTCCGCGTGCGTACGTACGTCTCCCGCCCGCGACCCCCAGAGGTTCCCCACATGCGAACCCAGCCGCGTGTTCTCCCAGCTCCCAGGTGCACTTCCAACCCCTCCCAGTGGCGGTACAGCACAAGCGCCTCAAATAAGAAAACGGCCTGTCAGCAGGCGCCTCCGCAGCAGCTCCCTTTCCCCCGATGGCCCCGGGGGCCCACAGAAGCCTTGGGGCACCTTAGGAAGCTCCAGGCTCGACGACGAGCGTCCCCCCCAGAGTCCCTGACTTGTATGCTTTGGGACGGGAGCAATGGCCTCAGCCGTCACGGATCAGCGCCCGCGCGGTCCGTGGCCCTCCCCCTTCTCGCGCTGGCGCTGCATGCAGCGCGCGCTCCCTCTGGAGCGCGCGGAGGCCGCGAGCGGCAGGCGCGCCGGCTGGTGGCGGCGGCTGCCGAGCTGGTGCTCCCGCCGCCGCGCCGCGGGCTCGGCTGCTCGGTCGGCCTCGGCGCCGACCCCCGCGCCCCAGGGCTGCGCGGGCACCTTCGTTCAGCAACACGTGGAGGTCCACGTGCACGTCGGGAGCGGCGCGGACGCCGCACGGGCCGGGCGCGCCGCGGCCGAGGCAGCCGCTGCCGTGCTGGGCGGGACCCCTTGCGGGGCCGGCGTGTCGCCGGCCAAGCAGGCGCCAGAGGCTGGCGCAGCGTCGCGCCGCGGTCGGGCTGGTGGCGGCCAGGCTCCGGCGCGCGCCCCGCGCCCTGAGGGTTGGGCCTACGCTGTGTGGCGGCACCCCCTGCGGCCGGAGCTGCGGGGCGTGCACTGCGGCGGCGGCGCGGCCTGGCGGGAGCTGGCGGCGACGCTGCCTGGCGGGCGCTACACGCTCTCGTCGGGCGTGCGGCTGCGGCGGTACGCCAGCGAGCCGGCAGCCGTGGCTGGCTACGAGGCGGAGGCGGCGAAGCACGAGGCGCCGCGGCCTGCGCCGCTGTTCGACGAGCTGGCCCCGCGGCGTGCTTGATGGCGACCGCGGTGTTGGGAGGGGCCGACCCGGCCAGTGCGGAGGAGTACGAGTGGGAGATGCGGGTGGCGGAGCTGACGGACGACTACATGCCCCTGCAGGTCGACGTCTCGGTGGTGCACCGAGGATTGAGCGCGGACGGCGCTGGGATCGCTGTGCCTATCGCGCCGATCCGCACGGCGGGGTCCGTGCTCACCATCGCGATCCCCGCGGACGTGTGCCCGTGGCTGAGCCCCCACTTCGCCGCGCTGGGCGACCCCGTGCATCGCCTCCCGTCGGTCGACGGCCAGATGGCGACGGTGGCTTTCGTGAGGGTCAGCTCGGAGGGCGGCGCTTGGATGGAGCCCGCTACGGGCAGCGGGCATTGGGCTGGCGACGGACGCTGGCCGGCGGCGCGGGCGCTGGTTTCCCTTGCAGCGTCCTTGCCTGCGGCGGTGGCGGACGACGACATCAACCCAGAGCGGGACTACTCCAGTGCGCTGGTCCCCGCCCCGCATGCGCTCAGCCCAGAGGACCTCGACGCGGTGCTGGGCGGCGCGCTGGGGTTTGGGCCATGGCGCGGGCTGCTGCGCTTGCGCTGGCCACCGCCGGAGCCCGAGCCTGGAGGCGAGGGCCAGATCGTGGGGCCCGACGGGCAAGGGCTGCCGGGCAACGTGACCCCGCCCAACGGGGGCGCCGCTGCTGCAGCGGCCGCGCCTTGGGAGCCTTTGCCCCCGCCCGAGCTTCCCATCCGCGCTGGTGGCGCCGCCAACGCCGCTCGCCTGCAGGACTCGGCTGCTGCCGCCGCTCGGGCTGTGACGCCCCAGGCCAAGGTCGCAGCCGTGGCCGCTGGCCGCGCGCGAGCTGCGCGGGGGGGAGCTGGCCCCGCCAGCAGCGCCGAGGAGGAGGACAGCGCCGCCGAGAGCCGCCGCGGCCCCGCGCGGCCCCGCCCGCCCGCTGCCTCGGGCCGCACGACGGTCGCGTCGCTGGCTGCCGTGCTGGAGCGCCTGGAGGCCTCGAATCAGGACATGCTGAGGCGCATGGCGCTGCTGGAGACGGTGGGGCGCCCGCCGGCTGGGGGCGCGGGGCCTGTGGGCGCCGCGGAGCACGCGCTGGGCGAGGCCGCGCCCGCCCTGCCCGCAGCCGCCCCCTCGCATCCGCAGGTGCTCGGACCGGCGCGAGGCGCCGTGGCGGAGCAGGCGGCGGTGCAGTGGGCGCTACAGGCCGCAGGCGCGCCGCCGCTGGCTCGCTTCGGGCAGCCCGTAGGCTTGGCGAGCCCGCTGCCGGTCGGCGCCGTGCCCGCTGCCGCAGGCGCGGCTGCGCGAGGCCCCCACGCCGGGGCGGCTGCAGGGCGTGCCAGCGAGCTGCCTCTGAACGCTGTGCAGGTTGCCCAGGCCCGCGCCTCCTACGCTCGTGCCCACGGCGTGCCGCTCGCCGACGTCACCGAGGGCGAGGTGCGCAGGTCGGCGGAGGGCATCTTTGCGTGGTGCCAGGCCGGGGCCGGCGTGCCCGCCGCCGGGCGCGTGGGCGCGGTGGACGCAGAACCGCCGACGCCGGCAGGTGCCTCGCCGGCCGAGCTAGCCGCCCATTGGGCCGCCGTGGCCGAGGTGCAGCAGATGCCTGCTGGCGCCGGGCCCGACGCGCTGGCCGGGCTATTGCAGCCGGGCCTCGACGATGGGTCCGCCGCTGCTGGCAAGATGCCAGGGGCCCGCGGCGCTGCCAGCATGGAGATTCTGCGGCGCGATCTGCAAACGCGTCCCGCGGCGCGGTCGGCCATGATCAGGAGGAACGCGGAGGTGGCGCTGGCAGGCGCGTCGGACGACCCCGGCCCGCGCGTGCGCAGCCTGGTGGAGTTCGTAGTCAGGACGGGCACAATCAATCGCGGCAACAGGACGGCGGCCTACCTAGGCTTCGGGATCGCGCGGGTCGCGGACCTGTTAGCGCGGGGCCAGCTCGAGGCGGCGGAGGCGGTCATCCTGCTGCTGCTGACGGCGCTGGCGCAGGCGCAGAGGGGCAACGGGCGCTGGCAGCTGGCCTGGCCCCTCACCCACCTGCCCGAGCCGCCGTGGTCCCAGATGACGACAGGTTCCAGCGGCTCGGTGGACAGCCTGCGGCCCTTCGGCCACCTGGCCGAGCCGACGTGGACCGCGGCGGCGATGGCCTGCACCAAGGACGCGGCCTCCCTGGCCGAGATCAGGAAGAAGTTCAACGACGACCGCGGCGGCGGCAAGAAGGACGAGGAGGAGCAGCGGCCGCCCAAGCCGCCCCCCAAGGGCGGGCGCGGCGGGGGCGGCAAGGAGGGGGCGCAGCCGGCGACGCCGGCTTGCTGGCGGACATCGAGGCTGGTTTGCCGCGGGTGCAGATCGGCATGGTGCGCCGCGTGCTGCAGGCCAGGACCAGTCTGGCCTACTACCTGTATTCGTGCATGCATGTCTCCAGCGCGCCGTCGGACTCCCCGGCGCGTACCTGCTTGAAGTTGTTCCCGATGGCGCCGCCCTACTCGTGGACCATCGGCGCCCCTCCGTGCTCCAGCCCGCGCTGCAGGGACCGCTGGAAGAAGGCGCAGGTGGCCAAGCTGCAGGTGAACCTGATAGCGGTCGCGTGCTCCTTCCTGGCGCTCGGCTCGCGGCGACGGTGCCCGGACGCTTACAGGACGGGGATGGGCTTGAGTGAAGTGCAGCGAGAGCGGCTCCCGCACCTCCTCGCCCTTGCCAAGCAGTGGAGCCGCGCGCCCTACCACATGAGCGGCCGCGGCAAGATGAAGCTACAGTCGCTTCTCGAATTTGGTATGCAAATGCGTGGAGCCGCACCCGAGCAGCAGGTGCGCGCTCCACCCCCTCTCGCGGTGGCGCCCTTCGTGGCCAGCCGCGCGACCTTCTGCAATCAGGATGCCCACTTCGACCCTGTGTACCACCTGCCCGTTTTCGAGGCGGCGGCGTACCTGGACCCGGAGCTGATCTTGAGGGACGTCCCGCTCGAGCATGCATGGCTTGAAGGCTATGCGGCAGTCTGGGAGCATGAATCAGATCGTGGAGTTCGCTTCGGATTTGGACCGCTCCCACAAGCTGTATTTGGCGAGGCCAGACGAGGTGGACATGGGCCAGGCTTGTAAGCTCATCCCTGTCTACCGTGATCAGCACCGCGATCGTATA